CATTTGTCTAAAAACCTTCACCAACAACACGTTTTGGACTGAAAGCAACCATCGCACCGTCCAGTTGTCGGTCTAGCCGAGACCACCACACTTCCCTGCATCCTCCATTTATTAAGCACTGGTGTGTTTAGCAATAGAACACACTGGTGTGAAAGGTTCTCGGCTCAATAATATCAGAGAAGGAGGAACAGCCGGCTGCTGCCACTTCAGCTTTAGGACAAACTACCAGACTCCCAGAATTAAAAACCCTGTTTGAAGTCACGGACAACAGAAGAAGTGTGAATCTAGAAAAGGGGTGACCAGTGTTTAGAGTTATCTCGTTTCCTTCAGCATCGCGGGTTTCAGGTTCCAGCTGAAGCATCTCAGGGACGATACCTGAAGGTACATGTCTGATATTCAAATATAACAAACATAAGCTCATATCATATAGTATTGATGATATACAATCATCAAAACCAACACAGACAGCATCTAGAAAGCAGAATTCATTGTTCCATCAATTACATCAAGGTGTCCGTGTCCTGAAGCAAGTAGCCTCAGACAACAACACCCCCCATGATAGATCTATTAGCCTAATTCATGTTTTCAGACAATTCCTAATGAAATGGTTCCATAATCTAACTTGCCTGGCGGTAACCAGGTCTGGGTGCAGCCAGTGACATTGAACATAGCTTCACAAATATTAATGAATTCATCTTCTAAGGAGGGAGGTACCGTAATTTCCGGACTATAGAGTGCACCTCAATATAAGCCACACCAACAAAAAATAAGGTTTTCTACACACACACACGCCGCACTCTAATACAAGCCGTGGCACAGCAGCCACATGCAAGTCTCCGGCGCACAGCGCATGTACGGCCATAACCAGGGGAGGAGTAAGGTGTACAGGGGCCCATAGGCTACACTTGTTTGGAACCAAAAATGCTTGGTTCTTCTTATCCTATATTCTTATCTGCAGATATTTATTATAATTAGGGCTGTCAAACAACTAAACATGTTAATCTAATTAATCATAGGGTATTTGTGAATTAACCATGATTTACCAATATTTTCTGGCATTTTCATCCATTTCACCCCAGCAGCCAGGATCCGGATTTAAGTTAGCATCCACCATCAGCGTCACCTGGCTAGGACCTTCTGCCGGGCTCCCGTCAGAAACTACTTAGCTGGTCTGCCTCTGCCCCCAAGTGGACAATATCAGCTTCTCTGTGCTAGCATCATGAACCGCTGCCGCTCCAGCTAGCATAGCTCCGTTGTCTTCATCGTGAACATCTTGCTTTTCTATAACCTGCTGTTGGGTCCAGCAGCAGGTTTAAAATATCCTGACAATTTGGGGATTTTCTGCAGAAGATTTTTGTGCTTTTGTTATTTGATCCTCTGCATTTTTCATTTCTGAGCGCCGATCTCATATTTTCTTTGACATTTTTTTCATTTTCCCTCGTTAAGTGCAGCAGCCTATGATACATGATTATGACGTGTCACGTGGCACGTTACTTAACTCAAGACCGCCACAATGTTTATCCAATCAGTGTCGCTTATGATTTTGTCGGCCAATACAGTTGAGGAATATTCTTGCATGTAAATTTAAATGCGGCAACATATGAACTCATACGTGTAGTTTCCATGATGAGGGGGTATGGATTTGAAATAAAGTCTTCGTGGTGCCGGCTGCTTGCATGTGCTAAATTAAAATGAGCACTATCTTTGATTTCCACTCTTGACTTCCACCTGTTTCACTTTCTGCTAAAGCGCCCCCTGTAGGTGAAGGAAAGTCTTCAGCAAAGCCGCACCTCTTTATAAGCCGCATGGTTCAAAGCGTGGGGAAAAAGTAGCGGCTTAAAGTCCGGAAAATACGTAATTACTTTGCAACAGAAGGCCATGTAGGTTTGCCTGACTCTTTTCCTTGATAAGAAAAACAATCGAATGAAATGTAAATTTTGTGATAACTTCAGTTATCTGGGAGATTTTTCTAATCACTTTCAAACTTTTTGGATCTATAAGCCTAAGTGAGCGAATCTTGATTAATGAGACTGCAGACAAAACCGGGTTTCATAAAAACCAAACATTTATTATAAATAATGGGAAGAATCTACCTTGTTGGCTTGTTTTGCCAAAAATAATAATATTTAAAAATGAAGAAAGGAAGAAGGAAGGCTCTAGTTTAATGCACCGAGGCATTGACCCACTAGCAGGTAGAGAAGGGATGGTGGAGGGGTTGGAGGGGCTGCTGATAAAGGTCAGAGGAGATGTGCTCTGAATTTGCAACTATTTTCGTTGGAGAAGCAGATACACGTTTAGCCGCAGTGCTGGTGAGCAAAGCGGAGGAAGATGGATTGGATGCCAAGAGAAACCCTTCTCCCTCCAAATGCAGACAAACCATTCCCCCCAGCCCAAGGACAATCATTACCTGAGGGAAAGCGGCAGCATGTGCGTTAGGGGAAGAGATGCTTATACTGGCACTGATCTTGAAAGGGCCCCTACAATCGATTGTGTTAAGCTCCCTGTGAAAGAGAGAAATCAATATGTTTTTAAAGGAGAAGCAGGCTGCATGGGGTGTGTGCGTGTGGGCCTCATTGATACAGCGTCCGCGTTCAGAAAGAGGCTGCTCCTGAAAAAGCACTATCGCATTTTGAGGTCAAGTGGTTTCATTTCCAGTACTTATCTGGAAAATTGTGACATGTGTGAGAAATATGTGAATAGAAAATAAGCATGTGTGTGGATGAAGTGTCCCGCTTTGGGTTCCAATCATCACAGCAGACTATTGGCCAGCGTCTGCGGAGAGCAAACGACACACAGAAAGGGAAAACCAGTAGTTTTCAGATGGAGAAAGTTGCACAGATACAGGTGGAGTCTACAGGGTTGCATCAGGATTAGCAAGAAGAAAGATTTAAAAAACACCTGCAACTTTTTGACAAAAGTAATTGTTTAAAGACACGAAGAAGCAATCAGTCTTCGAGTTAATAACAGGGAGTGCCCACACAGGTTCAGCTCTGGGAAAGAGAGTGGGAAGAAGGTCACCAAGAGCAAAGACTAAGGCAGACAGATGGAGAGGAAACAAACACAGAGAAGGCAATTTAATTTCCATCAGCTGGCAAAACAATGCTAATCAATACAAAATACACCCACTCTACAAGACTCTCTACCACTCTCATCAATGCCCTGCCTCTCCATTTCTGTCTCAGGCACAGTCTCAGCGATAATTTTCTCTTGACTTGGCATTTGGGGCAGAGAGTTTGATCCAGAAGAGCCAGAGGTGAGGAAGGAATCTGCACTGATCCAACACGCTGTCCTCAAACACAGACAGCTAAAGGGTTTTGGGTTCATTGGGCGGAGTCACAGCGAGATGGTTAAAAATAAAGACAGCAGACGTAAAGCTCTCGACGCATAAACACGTGTGTGTGTGTGTGTGTGTGTGTGTGTGTGTGTGTGTGTGTGTGTGTGTGTGTGTGTGTGATTCTGAGTAATGACTGAGGAACTGTACAGTTTTTAGACTTTTTACTTTGTGTTTTAGTTATATGACACTGCAGCTTTCTCCTCAACAGTCCAGCACCTACAGGAGACACCAGACTGCCCCCTGGTGGTCACAAGGCAAAGATCCCAGTTCACCTATTTTTTTCGAGTGACTTTGGCAGCGAGTGTAGCAGCGTTTTCATTCAGTAAACATTACAGACCAGCTCCATTAATTATGACCTTCAAAATGAATTAAACTATAATACAGTGGGCAGGCAGTTTCATCTCCCAACACACTTAGCCCCTGGTTTTATATCCCAATCTAAGTGTGATGAGTTTGCTTTTCCCCTTTTCACTGAGAAAATCATAAACATCAGATCGATCATTAATTTCTCCACGTCAATCAACACAACCAGACCACACACGGCTACAGCCTCAGCAACAGTCTGGCTAGAAGGCCTGCTTTCAGTGTAATTAGTGCTAAAATACTAGAGGACATACCAGTAGTAATGATTTTGAATTCACCTGCCTGTGGTCTGGACACCCTACAAACTAAGTTCTTTAAAAATGTTTTAGTTGCTTGAAAGCTGATGAACTGAAAGTTGTTAATTGCTCTTTGATATCAGGTATTTTTCCTAAATACCTGAAAAGCGCTGCTGTTAAATCCCTCATAACAAAAATGAAATCAGATCATTTAGTGATGGATAACTAAAGACTAATCTCTAATCTCAACTTCACTGGGACAATTATTGAAAAAGCAGTTATGATCCAACTAAACAATTATAATTTGCTTTGGTGTACCGCGACATGGCTCTTGGCTCCGTGTCAACACAGCGCCGGTTGACCCTCCCAGAGATGGAACCGTCGACAAAGGCGGACTAGCAGATTTTTGACCTCAGTGGACCAGCAAAGCCTGATATCCTTATTCAGCTTACCTAGTTTTGATTTTGTTACTAAGCAGGCCGGGGGTGCCTTCACTTTGGAGTCGCTCTACTGCGTTTTTTTTGCTAAAAACACCCAGAAAAACTCTGTTAGCTTCGGGTTAGCATGTAGCTAATGTCCCGCTGATCTCCGACCGTGGAGCATGATGTAAAAGGCCACGGTGCCCGGCTACTATCGCAGCGGTGCTCTGTTTGTAATTTAACTGACCCAGTCCATATTAGATCTCCACAGGTGACCAGCATGACTACAGCCTCGCACAGAAGCCAGTCACCTGTGCGGGTGGGCTGCCCCAGAGCCTCTTCTTAGCTTCATCTGAAGATTAAAACACAGTAAAATTATAATAATGTTCAAGAGCTGTCTGATGTCTAAAGGTTAAAAATACCTCCTTTTAGCACAACCATGTCCAGTAAATTCACAAGAGAATAGGAAGAGAACAAACGGTCCACCTGACTTAATGTGGTCTGTAACTCAGCGTCAGAACTGCCATCTCAGTGTATGTGTTGCTGAGATCTGGAGGTATTTATGGATGCGTTATTGATCTGAAATAAACTGACTCACAGCTTGTTATGGCTAGAGCTCTGCGGTCAAAGGATCAGTGGATACAATGCCACATTTACAGGTCACTGTTTATTGTTCTTAGAAAAAAAATCACAACTAAATCTTAAAGAGGAGAAGTTGAATCAAGATATTGAGGAAATCCTTTTCAACAGAGTTGGTAACATAACAGTTTTAGCTGCAGCACTGCTAGAGAAAAAGTACAGTATCAGAAACAGCAGCAGAACCAATTGTTTGTGTGTGTAAAGGTAAGGATAGCACAGATGCAACAGAAATTAGAAAGTTTTCAATAACGAACCTGTAAAGGAGGGTTTGGTTAAAGCTAGCTCTTTCCAGGTGAGGTGGCTATCAATATGGTGTATCTGTTAGAATACAGGTAGAGGCTAGATGCATCCTTTGCTGTAGATCCAAATCTTTAATCTCGGTTGATGGTAATCATTAACAGCATTGACAACAGTCTGAAACAGTAAACATAATTATTAATGAACCTTCTCATTCAATACAGCAAGGGGGAATGAGGCAAAACACATTTATCTTAATTAACCAACTTACAATCAAATAGAGAAATTCAAACAATAGCGCCCTCTTGTGGCTAACTAAGATCGCCATAACTCACTCATGTGACACTGTCAGCCTTTACTCACTAGAGCAATTATAAGGTGGAACTAGAAATGAAATACAACAAAATAACTCCTCATGTCATTAACATCAAGGCAAACCAACTTTAAATATTTTTTCATAAAAGGAAAGAAACGTGTTGGACATAAACACTTCAGTAATTCAATACTCAACTAATATTCCATAATTAAACGGAGGAACTTAATAATACAGTCTTAAACATTAAGTGACTCACTTTCTTGCATTAACATAATGCTGTCAACATCAACATGACTTGCAGGAGAAGGAACGCTTGTCTCACATGCAGGTAAAAAAAGGAAAGAAAAGGGAAAGTTCTAGTGCTGGAAGTGAGCTCACTGTGAAAGGCTCTTCAAAATAAAGGCATGTCACTTCCTGAATTCCCACCAAAATAAAACCAACAAATTTAATAAAGGTAATATATGAAATTCTGAACCTTTTATACAGCCGCCCCCAAATGTGTTCACACATTTGCCATAATAAACATGTTAATTATTAGATGGGGTCTGTTTGGTTGTTGGTTGGTCTTCTCCTGAAGGTAGCGATGGAAGAACTATCATTCTAGCAACCGGTCTGGTGTACAAATGTCCTTTGATGTTCACATCTGCAGATCTTATGCAGCCATCTTCACTACGGTGGGTCTTAACGACATATCCAACTGGCCATAAAGCTCGTGGCATCTGTGGGTCCACCAACATGACAACTGTCTCCTTCAGGAGCTCAGGAGAAGAAGATTGCCATTTTAGTCTTGTCTGCAAGTTAGGAAGGTACTCTTTGATGAACCTAACCCAGAACTGGTCAGCCAGGATCTGGGAGTGTTGCCAGCGTCTACGGCTGAGGTTCTCAGACTTCGGGTAGACTACTTGAGGCAATGACCCATCAGGCCGCCCCATCAGGAGACTGTTGGAAGTTACTGGGTCTACATCAGCGATATCTGTGGAAACATACCCTAATGGTTTAGAGTTTAGGATGGATTCCACCTCCAGAAGGACGGTGAGAAGGACCTCTTCATGGATAGGTTGAGAGCTCACACAAACTCGGAGGGCTGATTTCACAGAGCGTATTTCTCTTTCCCACACACCGCCAAAGTGAGGGGATCCTGGGGGATTAAACTGAAATTTTATCTGTCGCTTGGCAAGGTGTTGCCGCAGGTCATCGGCCATGTTTGAGAAAGCCTCTTTAAGTTCTCTTTCTCCTCCTCTGAAGTTGGTTCCTTGATCCGACCACAGTTCAGCAGGTGTTCCTCTTCTGGCAATGAACCTCCTTAGAGCCATGAGGAATGCATCGGTGTCTAGGCTACTCAGGAGCTCTAGATGCACTGCCCTCATGGTCATACATTTAAAAATGATTCCCCATCTCTTCTCATGTCTTCTTCCTATCTTAACTTGCATCGGCCCAAAACAGTCCACCCCGGTCGAATAAAAGGCTGGTTTAAACAATCTTAGCCGAGCAAGAGGTAGATCTGACATCTTTGGGACAGATGGTTGTCCCCTCCAACGTTGACAGTCAGGGCATGTCCGCTGTCGTAGCCCAAAACCTCCAGTTGCCAGGATGCTCCTCAACCTATCCACAAGGGACTTTGCTTCTTCGGATGAGCCAACACTCTGTAAGCAGTTGTCAACATAAAAACATTTCTCAATGGAATCACGTAGGTCTTCCCCTGGCTGAGTATGGTCTGTTACATTACGCTGCAAAGCGTACGTAGCGCAACATGGGCTAGAGGTTGTCCCAAAAGGTAGGACTTGCCACTCGAAGGTCTTTGGGGGCTCATCTACCTTCAGACTTCGCCACAGGAATCTCAGTAAGGGACGATCCTCAGGTATAAGACGAACCTGATGAAACATTCCCTTAATGTCTCCACTGACAGCTATTGGACGTTCTCGGAATCTCAATAAGACTCCCAACAAAGAAGCTCCAAGTGTTGGGCCAGGTAGTAGGAACTGGTTAAGAGATTGTCCAAGGTATTTGTGTGAGCAGTTGAAAACTATGCGATTCTTCCCATTGTGGGTGACGAGATGGTGGGGGATGTACCAGCTCTCCTTTGATGGTTTCTCCTCAGAAACCTCCTTTACAGCACCTGCATCAATTAGTTTCTGCATTTCAGTCTTATATGCCTCTGCTCGACTGTTCTCTTTCAAGAGCCGTCTCTCGGTACTTCGAAGCAAAGGCATGACAGATTCCTTTGGCGCCTGCAGGAGTGGCATGTGGTCATGACGGAGGAGGGGTGTAGCGTACCTGAGAACTCCATCCACCATGGTACGAACTGTCTTATTCTCGAGCAATGCTATAGCCTGATGGTCTTGCTTTGATCGTGTTACAGATTTCTCAGATCTGTATGGTACAATATCCACTTGCCAAAGTCTCTCCACATGTGTAAATAATTATTCGGCTCTGGTAGAGGTGTACAGACAAAGGGCGGGGTTAGAGAGCCGCCCCATGGAAGTATGCGGGCCTTGGAGTGTCCACCCAAGTTTGGTGTGAACTGCTGCTGGGCTGCCAGGTGGGCCGAGTCTGACTGGTTCAGTAGGGGTTATCAAATGAGGCTGGTCTGAACCAATGAGGAGCAGTGGCTTAGCATCCTTTAGAGCAGGTACTGGAATCCCACGCAAGTGCCCAAACTTCCTTTGAAGTTGTTCAACAGGATACGTGTGGTGCGCTAAGGTCAATCGATTAGAGGTAAACGCCCCATCAATCTGGAAGCTGCAACTAGGTTCAGTAGCTGAAGAGAGTCTGAAGGACACAGTGTGACCTTGCAATAACTGAATGTCCTGACGTACTGTACGGAGAGGAAGGTTCTCTGGGGTGCCTCTCAGACCAAGAGCTTTGGCTGCACCAGGAAGTAGCATTGTCCTCTCTGATCCGTCATCAAGTATTGCAAAGGTATTTAGGGCTCGTGTTCCAGAGCTAAGGGACACAGGTACCACCTTCAGCATGACACGGTTCCCAATGCTTGGTCTGTCAATGTAGAAGGAATCCGTGGCTGAACTGGTTAGGCAGCTCTCCTCACTCACAGCTACGTCTTGACTGGCCTTTTGGGTTCTTGTGTTAACCTCGTGGAGTGCCAGTAGGTGTTTTCCTTGACAGAGGCTACAAGGTTTCTTTAGCGTGCACTGTGCAGCTAAGTGAGATTGTGCACATCGCCAGCATCTTTTGTTTTCCTGAATCCAGTTCTTTATTTGTTCCTTAGAGAGCTTTGCAACATCAATGCACTGACTGAAATAGTGTTCAGTGCTGTCACAATAAGCGCAGAAAGCTTTTCTTTTGCTTGCTCCATTTGTTGCACTTTCCTTAGATGTCAGCGAACTAGTTCTCGCAGATCCTTTAATGTTATGGAGCACTGTAACTGTGTTTACCAGTTCGCCCTTCATACTTTGAGCTGTTTCTCTCTCTACCACCCTTTCCTGTGGTCTGGCTGTCAAAGCCCTGACACCATGATTCATAATGGAGCCCGTCAGAGAGGTCATGTAGGGTGTAGGATTTCCCAGGCTGTTTGAACTGGTGCTTTTGAAAGTCAGCCCGTTGCTCAGGAGGTAGCTTACCTAAGAGTCGAGCTACATGTGACCCACAGTTAAGTTCTACTTGTCCTTCCGGGCCTAAGGTTTGTAACAGGCCTACTAGGGACTGCACCTGGAGGGAGAACTTCTGGAAAGCTATTAGATCACCTCGCCTTATTTCAGGACCGTCAAGAACACTTGCTATCTTTTTTAGGGCAAGCTGATGTGGTTGTCCAAATTTGTCATGAAGAGCAGCCATGGTGTCAGTGTAAGGGTTGGGTGAGTTAAGATAAGCGTCAGCAATAAGCTTAGCTTCATCTAGTCTCAAATTGTCCACAAGAATTTGATATTTGAACAGCTCTGTAGCGTTAGAGGGCAGCAAGTTTTCAAGTGCAATGCGAAGTCTTGCAAACTCGCAGGGGTCTGAATGAATAAACTTTGGTATGGTAGGTTTAGGTCCTCTATACACTACCTCAACTGTAGGGGTAATATCATCTCTGCAGCGGGGTTGCTGTGTATGACTGGCACCTGTAGCTGTAAATGAATGTTTGGTAGCTGAGGGCTTTCCAGAAAAGAAGTCTAAATTGGTTGGAGCTGGGTGGGAAGAGGATGCCAGGTAAGGTGCAAATGTAGGATGCATTACCTCACTCTCCTTAGCAGGAGCCTCAAACTGGGCCGTATTCTGGGTAAGCTGGGCAGGCTTGTAGTGTGAAGGGGATGCACCTTTGAAAGGGGAAGATCGCTGGATTGGTTGAAAATCTTGATCCATGGGTTTGAGGTCATATAAGCCACTGTTTTGGTCCTCAGGTTCTGGCCATGGTGGAGGGTCAGGCCACTCTTCTTCTTCTTCTTTCAAATCGATAGTAGGAAAATGGCTTCTAGGTCTGTCTATGCTATCTTGTGAGGGGGTATGAGAGGAATGTTGTGGTGCAGCTAACTGATTCATGTCCATTCGCAAGGCGTTTGTGGCTTCGATTAGAGCTTTAATTTCAGTCCTCGCTTCATTCAGCTCCTTCAAACCATCTTTCAACTCCGTCTGTGCTTGAAGCAGCTGTCTTCTCTCTTCATGGGTTGCTCTAAGTTCTGCATGCAGAGACAAGGCTGATGGGGATTCCTGAAAATAGGGAGTTACAGGTTCAGTGCAGGGATCTCTTCTTATTGGTCTCGACAGGAAGGGAGTACCGTGGGGGATAACTCTCTTATAGCTAGAGGGGGGAGAGAATGAAGTAGGCTGGCTTTGGCTGTGCTGCAGTTCAGGATCTAGTCTTCTGCTTAGGGGTGGCGGGAGATTCCACTGCAGTCTGTTTCCAGGAGAAGCTCCAGCGTAACTTACTTCAAACCCCTCAAATCTGCCGGGTCGGCTGATCTGCCGTTTAGGTCTCACAGTAGGATGCAACTCTTTATCTGGATCCATATTGATAGCCCTTATCCAGCTCGAAGGACCAATGTAAAGGAGGGTTTGGTTAAAGCTAACTCTTTCCAGGTGAGGTGGCTATCAATATGGTGTATCTGTTAGAATACAGGTAGAGGCTAGATGCAGCCTTTGCTGTAGATCCAAATCTTTAATCTTGGTTGATGGTAATCATTAACAGCATTGACAACAGTCTGAAACAGTAAACATAATTATTAATGAACCTTCTCATTCAATACAGCAAGGGGGAATGAGGCAAAACACATTTATCTTAATTAACCAACTTACAATCAAATAGAGAAATTCAAACAATAGCGCCCTCTTGTGGCTAACTAAGATCGCCATAACTCACTCATGTGACACTGTCAGCCTTTACTCACTAGAGCAATTATAAAGTGGAACTAGAAATGAAATACAACAAAATAACTCCTCATGTCATTAACATCAAGGCAAACCAACTTTAAATATTTTTTCATAAAAGGAAAGAAACGTGTTGGACATAAACACTTCAGTAATTCAATACTCAACTAATATTCCATAATTAAACGGAGGAACTTAATAATGCAGTCTTAAACATGAAGTAAAGTGACTCACTTTCTTGCATTAACATAATGCTGTCAACATCAACATGACTTGCAGGAGAAGGAAGGCTTGTCTCACACACAGGTAAAAAAGGAAAGAAAAGGGAAAGTTCTAGTGCTGGAAGTGAGCTCACTGTGAAAGGCTCTTCAAAATAAAGGCATCTCACTTCCTGAATTCCCACCAAAATAAAACCAACAAATTTAATAAAGGTAATATATGAAATTCTGAACCTTTTATACAGAACCATTCTTTCAGAAAAACAGCTTTTGAGATTGTTTGTGGCCATTTAATTCGGATGACTCGAGTGTGGTAAGTTTAAATGTTTCAGGCTGAAATTGCTGCTGGTAACTGAGATCAAATAAATGTGATCTGGTTAGGGTTAAGGTTAACTAAAAAGATTAAGATTATTTTTGTAATATCCTCAAGCAGACACAGTGACATCCAGAGAGTAGGGTCTTGGTTGAACCTCGTTTATTCTCATCACACCGAAGCACCACAGCTTACATTACACACACATGAATGAATTGCCCCGGACCTAGCTAAACAGTACTACCAGAATGGAGCACTGGCTCCCCCTAGAGGCGTCATGAAGTAGTTTCCTACCTCAACTACTACACCCCCCCCCCCCCCCCCCCCCCCATCCAGACAAAAACAAAGATGAAAAATAACACCATTTCCCATAAGCTAAAACCCACACCCCGAAAAACCACCACAAACCGTAACAACCCTGTAACCATGCGAGTATTATTATGGGTAGCAATTTTTTTTATATATATATAGTAGACCTTATATAACATACAGCAAGAACAAACAACAGTTTCACATGACACTCCCACTAAACTAACTAGGGAATTTGGGTAGACCACCTCATCCCAGCGAGCTTCCAGGGCGCATTCTTGCCCTTGCCGTGGAGCTCACCACTAACTAAGAATAGTCACTCAAATACGCAGGAGGCCTCCTGCTTCTCTGCGATCTCCTCACTTCCGGTTGTCCCCCTGCCGGCACCGCCTCTACCCTCTCCGGCCACGATGCTGTTGTCAATGGATCGTCCGAGTCCACTTGGCCTGTTGATTCCGTTGCGGCTGTGCTGTTTTCATTCAGGACAGGAGACAACACCGGAACATGTTCTGTTATTTCCGATAGGGGCGACCTGTGACGCACCTGATCGATATGTCTTCTCACCACATTCCCATTTCCTAGTGCGACTTTGCATGAGACAGGACCCGTCATCGCAGCAACAGCCCCCGGAACCCAGCGTGGACCCGAACCAAAGTTCCGAGTGTAGACCAAATCTCCTTCATCCAGCATCCTGTCCCTGGCATGCATGTCATGATAATACTTTTGCTTCCCTTGTTTACCAATCAGTCTGCCTTTGAAATCGGGGTGTATGAGATCCAAAGTTGATCTTAGTTTACTTCCGCATAGAAGTTCAGCTGGTGACTTGCCTGTTGTTGACTGAGGAGTAATGCGATAACAAAACAGAGCTCGGGCCATTTTAGTCTCCACTGACCCCCCTGTGCTTTTTTTCATCAATGACTTAAAAGTCTGAACGGCGCGCTCTGCCAACCCATTCGAAGAAGCATGGTATGGGGCTGTGGTGATGTGGCGAATCCCATTTTTTTGTGTGAATTCCTGGAACTCCTCACTGGTAAAACAGCGGCCATTGTCGGACAGGATTATTTCAGGAATGCCATGGTGACTAAAACTCTGAGGCATTCAATGGTCACAGCTGATGTAGACCTGTTTACCGCGTGCGCTTCAATCCACTTCGAATACGCATCCACCACAATTAAGAACCACTTGCCCATGAATGGCCCAGCATAATCCACGTGGACCCTCCTCCAGGGGTTTTCAGGCACCTCCCAGGGGTGTAAAGGTGCCACTGCGGGATTATTTCGGTTTTCCTGACACACGGCACACCCCTTCACCATCAACTCCACCTCTTCATCCAAGTTTGGCCACCACATGTAGCTGCGTGCCAACCCTTTCATCTGGTCATTCCTGGATGGGCGCGATGAAGCTGTTTCAGCAGACGTGCTTGACCCTGTGGAGGAATAACCACACGCCCTCCCCACAATATGCAGCCTTCCTGTGTGCTGAGCTCCTCCTGACGCCTGACGTAAGGTAAAAATGCCGCGTCCTCTACCTTTCGAGGCCACCCTCTTAATATGTACTCTCGCACCCGAGCCAGCACAGGGTCTTTGTCTGTCCAAAGTTTCACCTGCTGTGCAGTCACCAGGGATGTGTCACTGTCCTCAAACAGCAGGACTCTTTCCCCCTCCTCTGAGCCTGCGTCAGCCCCCTCGCTCATTTCAGTCAACGGCAACCTGCTCAGGGTGTCTGCATTGGTATGATTCTTCCCTTCCTTATACACAACGGTGTAATCGTATGCCCCAAGCGTGACTGCCCATCTCTGGATGCGAGGTGACGCCAACTGTGGTACAGCCCTGAGCTCGCTGAAAAGTGAAATTAACGGCTTGTGGTCTGTTGTAATGGTGAAACGTTTCCCATACAAGTACTTGTGGAACTTTTTCACCCCAAACAGTACCGCCAACCCCTCCTTATCTAACTGTGAATAATTTTTTTCCGCCGCATTGAGCGTTCGAGACACAAATCCTATGGGTCTTTCCGAGCCATCGGCCAACTGGTGAGAGAGCACCGCCCCCACTCCATAAGGTGATGCGTCACATGCTAGGAGGAGGGGTTTTTCTGCATCATAGTGTACCAATACCTTGCAAGATTGCAACAGAGACTTGGACTCTTCAAAGGCTTCCTGTTGTTTTGGGCCCCATGACCATTTCACCTCCTTCCTCAGCAGTAGGTGAAGAGGAGCTAGCAGAGTGGATAGGTTTGGAAGGAACCTGTGGTAATAATTTAAGCGTCCCAAGTACGCCTTTAACTCTGTGATATTTTGTGGTGCTGGAGCTTTTGCGATGGACTCCACCTTTTCTCTCAGAGGATGTAATCCTGCCGCATTTATTCTGTGCCCCAAGAACACCACTTCCCTGGCCATGAACTCACACTTGCTTCTTTTTAATCTTAACCCACCATTTCCCAACCTTAGGAGGACCTCGTCAAGGTTTTTTAAATGTTCTTGTTCACTTGGCCCTGAGATGAGTATGTCATCCAGATACACTGTGACATTCGGAATTCCTCCTAATATGCTCTCCATCGTTCGCTGGAAGATGGCAGGACTGGAGGCCACCCCAAACGGCAGCCTGGTGTATGTGTAAAGGCCCTTGTGTGTGTTAATGGTGACATATTTCCTGGACCCCTCGTCCAACACAATCTGTTGGTAGGCATGACTCATGTCCAGTTTTGTAAAGTACTGTCCCCCTGATAACTGTGCAAAAAGATCCTCCACCCTTGGAATAGGATATTGTTCCAACTTGGATGCCTGGTTTATTGTGAGTTTGTAATCCCCACAAATTCTAATGGATCCATCTGGTTTCCGGACGGGGACAATAGGGGCAGCCCATTCGGCAAACTGCACAGGCTCAATGATCTTCTCCTCCTCTAGCCGTTGTATTTCTTTCTCCAACAAAGGTTTTACTGCATAGGGTACTGGCCTTGGCTTATAAAAGCGTGGTCGAGCCTCACTGTCCACATAAATCTGGGCTTGCATGCCTTTCAGAGTTCCCAAGCCTTCTTTAAAAACCCCTGAGTGTTTCTTTAGCACACACTCCAGTTTTTCTGTGGGCGCCAGCCCTCCGTTGTTTACCAGCTGCTCTGCCATCGACAGCTCCTGCAACCAGCTGCGCCCCAGCAGGTTTGGTCCAGCCCCATCCACTACAACCACAGGTAGTGTCTTAAGAGCATTCCGGTCCTCTACCTCTACTTGCGCCATTCCCAGGACTCCCAGCTCTTCCCCTGTATACGTTTTCAAGATTAGTGAGCATGGGCTTAGACCCGATTTGGCAGTTTTGTTACAAAGCAGAGAATATTGTTGTTTGCTCAAAATGGTCACCCCACATCCTGTGTCTATCTCAAACAGTACGGCCAAGCCATTTATGTTGACCATGCGTGTGATGGGAGCGACCTTTGGTAGGCCACCCGACACATTGTAAATGGTATTAATGCCATCAGATTCTTCAGAGTCACTCCCCCCCTCTGTTCTCAACAAATGTGTCTGACTGCCTCTATTTGGGTCTCTCCGTCCCTCCTTTTTGCTCAGGGGCCCCTTTTTTTGTTCCTCCTGTGGACCCCACTTGGACCTGCAGGCTCTTCTAATGTGACCCCTCTTGCCACAACCGTGACATCGTTCAGCTGCAAACCTGCACTCAGTGGCCAAGTGTCGTCCGTTGCAACGAAAACAGCTCGGACTTTTCAGCTGAGCCTTGTCCATTGAAATCTTGTGGACTGTCCCCTGACTCCTTGACACACGAGAAGCTGGAGTCACCTCATCCCCCAACATCTCCTGCAAGTCCCGAACATCCTTAGAGGCAGACTCCATTGCCTGGCACAACGTAAGAGCTTTGTCAAACGTCAGGTCCACTTCAGATAACAGCCGGCGCTGCATCCTGTCATCATTCACTCCACACACCAACCTGTCCCTCAGCATTTGTGGCAAAGCCGCTCTATAGTCACAGTGCTGGGCCAGTTTCCTCAACTCAGCCACATAATCTGCCACCGACTCCTCATGCCGCCGCACCCGTGAATTAAACTTAAACCTCTGTACGATCTCACTTGGTTTAGGACCGAAATGCAACCGCAGTGTCTGCGTCAACTGTACATACGTCTTGTCTTTCGGTGCCTCCGGGCTCAACAGGTTTCTTAACAAGCTGTAGGTAGCTGGACCTACACCGCTCAGCAACACGGCTTTCTTCTTATCAGCATCCGTTATCTCATTAGCCTCGAAGAAAAAGTCAAGCATTTCGCTATATTCTTCCCATGACTGTAAGTCGCCGTCAAACGGACTCACCGACCCAATCACCGCCGCCATTTTCCCCCTTTGTGTCGTCCAAAGGCGAGTAGATGCCCCGCTCCAGACACGTCCTCCGGACCGACTGGCCGTCTATTCCCGCCGCAGAGAACCACACCAGACTTTATCCTCGTCGCCAATTGTGTAATATCCTCAAGCAGACACAGTGACATCCAGAGAGTAGGGTCTTGGTTGAACCTCGTTTATTCTCATCACACCGAAGCACCACAGCTTACATTACACGCACATGAATGAATTGCCCCGGACCTAGCTAAACAGTACTACCAGAATGGAGCACTGGCTCCCCCTAGAGGCGTCATGAAGTAGTTTCCTACCTCAACTACTACAATTTTAAAGCTTCATTAAGACAAGGAGGCTAAAATATTCTATTCCTAATGGCTAAAATGAAAACTAATTGCAGTTACAACATACAGCCACCGGAGGACAGCAACTCCCCATGTTCCCTTCAGTCCTTACTGCTTTTGGAAAGCTAGTGCTGTTCTATTTGTTGACAGCAGATGGCGCAGATTTACCATTCTTTCAAGCAAAATAGTGTTTGGAAGATATTAAATAGTTTTACTTTCTAGTAAGGAAGTTAATTAACTTTTCTTAATCCAGATTCATCTCCTTCAAATCCTTCACCCTCTCCTTCATAATATTATGATTCCCAATTTTTTTTACTAAAAAGATTAAGAATTTTTAAAGCTTCATTAAGACAAGGAGGCTAAAATATTCTATTCTAAATGGCTAAAATGAAAAAGTGCAGTTACAACATACAGCCACTGAAGGGCAGCAACTCCCCATCTTCCCTTCATCGACTGATGATGGATATGTAGTGCTGTTATGTTTATTGCCAGCAGAGGGTGCAAATTTCTCATTTTGGGGGGGGGGGGGGGGACTGTGTTTAGAAGAATTTGGATGTTTCTTCCCAGAACGCATTTTACCTTTATTAACCCAGTTTCATCTTCTCCTTCAAATCCTCCTCTTTTTCCTTCATAATATTACAATTCCTAAAATGTTTACCAAAAAGATTAAGATTTTTGTAAAGCTTCAATGAGACAAATAGGCAAAGATGTTTTCTAAATGGCAAATATAATTTTTCATCTAGAAAAATTTAGATGAAAGTTTTTCTTCCCAGAATGTGTTTTACCTTCATTAATCCCGATTCATCATTGTTCTCCTTCATTATATTCTAATTTCCAAAATGTTTACTAAAAAGATTAAGAAATTTTAAAGCTTCATTAAAATATTAGCATGTGGGAGCTTGATCCCATTGATGTCTATGTGTTGTTGTTTTTATGCTCTTGGATTGTTCTGAAATGTAATTTCATTGTTTTGGGATGCTGGTTCAATGACAACAAAGCCTTCTTCTTCTTCTTCTTCTTCTTCTTCTTCTTCTTCTTCTTCTGTGTCACAGCAATCCTTTTTTAACCTCTACAACTCAGAATTGATGCAGTTACACCTTCATTGCTTCAGCTGTGTAAAGTCCAGGCGTGTTAATCAAATAATTGTAGATATCCCTAGACTGAGTAGCGGTCGGTTCTGAGGACTGTCATCCCACAGCGGGAGAGCTAATTTCAAACATATCTGGAAGCTTTGCGCTAAACACCGTTAGCATTGAGGTGTAACTTTTAGATGATCTGCACCAACATGTGTGATCTAAAGTAACAATATTTAAATCCCTAGGTTTTATTAACTTTAAATTGTGGAGATACAAGTCTGGACAGCAGCTGCAGGGGCTCTTTTTGCCCCCAGTGTTGTGTGCATATGTGTCATTACCTGGGTGTAATGGCTTTGGTCTATCTGTCTGTCTGTCCAGCAAGAGAGAGAGAGGTGTTTTTCTATAGTATTAGTTGCTGTAGTTGCATTTACATTGTTTTCATTGTGTAATTTCCCATTAAGACCAAAACAAATCTTAAGCTTCTTCAATGGTCATAACAGAATAGAAATATATACATTAGGGATGTGTGTTGTTGAAATTCTGGTGATACGATACGTATCACGACACAGGGGAGACGATACAATTTATCATGATATACTGCGATACATTCAGTCAGACGTTGTTAGAGATTTTTAGACTGAATTTATCGTAGGAAAATTCAATAAACATGTCAACCTGGTACTTAACATGTTTAACATCAGGTATCTGAACCATAACAGAGGGATTTACATTTCAATGGTGGAAACAAAACCCATTACACACTGCTGCCAACTAGCGGTTAACGTTTGAATTGCACCAAAAGAAAAAGACAATACACAGTGTTTGCATGTAAATTCTTCCAAAAATTGGATACACGGCTTTTGAATTTCATTATAATATCACAGGGGGAAAAATCATGATATGTTGCCGATCGATAATTTTTTTTACATTCCTATATGTATATATATATATATATATATATATATATATATAGATAGACAGACAGACAGACAGACAGACAGACAGACAGACAGATAGATAGATAGATAGATAGATAGATAGATAGATAGATAGATAGATAGATAGATAGATAGATAGATAGATAGATAGATAGATAGATAGATAGATAGATAGATAGATAGATAGATAGATAGATAGATAGATAGATACAATTTTTTTTGTGAACTACCATAAATCCTCTAATACAGACCCGGGCCTGTATTTGACTCAATCTCATCAAGCTCCAGGCCTTTATTGGAAGGAGGGCCAGAATTAGAGGCAGGCCTCTATTTCTATTTGAGCAAAATGAACTAATGGTTCGCTGGAGTTTTTGACAATTAAAATTGTGCCCACATTTTCTAAGTTAACACATCTCTTTTAACAATGTAGTTTCTGCTTCAGCCATCTCTCCCCTCCCCCTGCGCAGCGGCCGCAAACTCACTGATGCGCCTGCAGCCTCTCGGAGTTCCTGCTGCTCTAAACATTAAAATAATTATTTCATTTTCTGTTCCTCACTTCTGATTGCCTTCAATTGTGTCTGTTTGTTGCAACCACCAGGTACAAAAACTAACTTGTTTTTATTTGACTATTTTTCTGTCCTGCCTGCTTATTATCTTCCTGCATCTCCTCTCAATCCTAAAGAAAAACTGCTACCTGGGTTCATATATATTCACCTTATGAGTTACCTTTGAACTGCAGTTCTAAAAGATCTACCGACCGCAAAAACAGCGGAGTGCTCGCTGCTTGCCGGCCGCATCAGTGATCGGTGTGTCACCGGATGACAAGTTGATGCGCCCCGCTCCACAGCGAAACACATCAGGCGCAAATAAAAGACAGAATAAAGGAAATGAACCGACATGAACGATCGCGTGTTAAATTAGTTTTTGAGGTGGCGACACCTGATTTGATAATGTTGTGGCCGTGCTCAGGACGCAAATCTACCGACCGCAAAAACAGCGGAGTGCTCCCTGCTTGGCGGCCGCATCAGTGATCAGTGTGTCGGAGGACAAGGTGATGTGCCCCGCTCCACAGCAGCGAAACACATCAGGCGCAAATAAAAGACAGAAAACATTAAAGGAAATGAACCGACATGAACGATCGTGTGTAAGTACCGACGCTCTGGCACAGCGCATCCCCCCCCCCCCCCCCCCGAGCGCAGGAGCTTGTCACCTGCTGATAGCAGGCTGCTGTCTTTTCCGAGGGCTGCATCTTGCTGGTCATTATCATGTGACAGCGACTAGTCGATGACAGGCATAAAAAGTCCCTATAGTGAAGTCAACTAGTTCATACAACCCCTATTGCTCCCCAGTGTTCTGCAACTCACGTTCTCCTTGAACTTGATATCAAATGTTCGCCTCCTCTTCGTCTCCGCACGGTTAAAGTTACCCTCGCGGTCTATCACTGGCAAATCAAAAGTGAGACGATGACACAACCGCCCCCCGTACTTGCTTGTTACCACATTCCACCCGGCCACAATCAGAGACCGGCCGTTATTCACCTCCGCCGACTCCGACACCGGCCAAAATATGAGACCCGGCCGTTAATTGAATACAGGCCAGTATTAGAGGATTTACGGTATATGCTTTAGGGCTCCACACAGCACAACAGGTTAGACGGAAGCATACTGGAGTCTGGATGATCACAACCAGGTAGACGGTTAAGACATGTCTCACTGGCTTATGTGAGACATGTCTGTCTTTTAGATTTGTGCTGCAAGTCACAAGGTAAACCAAAGCAAGGCGCAATCACATATCTTCCTGAGCTGTTCTTGAAAACAACTTTGCCTTAATCTTGTGATGATTTCGGTTTTCTCTCCCAGGTTTTTGATAATGAATGATGAACTGTAAATGGTCTTCTCAAAGGTCTTCTTTATCCCCAATGTAATGCTTACAACAGCGCAGAAACCTGGCATTGTGAGTTGATAAGAGAGCTGTTTTACTGTAACTGTTAATGTCCTCCAACAGAGAGTTTGGTGAAGTTAACTGAAAACATGCGAGAACTGCGAACTTCTTGTTTGTCCTGCTTTGTGTACTGGAGTTGGAAGTATACCATAGCAACAAAATTGTCTTTATGATTCTTAGAGGAGTATTGTTGTTAGAGTTTTTCCGGACCAGACCTTCAGGTACACAGGACTGTTTTTGAGTCCAGCATGCTGCTAGACCAAACCTTATATTTATTACCTTTTAGTTTTATTTCTTAGTTAATTATGTCAGACTACTAAGATAAAGGTTGCCTTGAATGAAACATAACAAAACAAAAACACCTGAACTTAAGAGTACAGAAATGTTTTATTAGAAAGTCAGAACAAGGGTGACCAAGTTTTATTACCTCATGTTTCGTCAAAGCACCCGCTGAACCACGAGCCCCCATATGCCCTGACCATAAATGGGCAGGGAGGGACGTCGGTCCTCGGAGGGAGCCAATCACAGCTCGCTGAAAGACTCCGAGCACAGGAAGTGAGTCACACTGATTGTAATATTACGTTTCTGTTGCTGCAGCACCGAGAACAAGGAAGCAACATGTGCCAACCACAATAACTAACAGCACATTACTACAAACAGGCGACACAAGAGCTGGAAACTCACTGACTGCGGAATATTCATACAACACACTGCCGGAACTGTGAGTAGGCCTACAATGTTTTTATTATCTTATGTGTGTGTGAGTATATATATATATATATATATATATATATATATATATATATATATATATATATATATATATATGTTTTTTTCTTTTAATTTCACGAAAAAACTAAGATTTTTCTTTTAAAAATACGCGTTTACTTGTCTTATTAAGGGGACAGGTAGCTTTTAAATGTAGTTTGAGTTAATTTTGATATCTATATAACTCATGTTTGATACGAAAACAAAAAAAAAGTTACTATAAAAGTTAGTGTTAGTTTTGAGAATGTACCGAAACGACTCATCCGTAGGCTGGTTTCTGCTAACTTTCTGAGTTTCCACTGGGGGTTTCCGCAGTCAGAAAAAACAAAAGCGTTGTTTTCCTCCATGTAGCTCACAGGTTTCCTCTAACACCACAGGACGAAACCGAGAGACAAAAGAAAATGAAGAAGTACATTTTAATCCTCGAGACAGGAGCACGTGCAGCCCTTAAGTGTCTCAGCGCGTGCTTTGTGCTTCCACGTTGTGTCGTTAAAAGAAAGGTTTAGTCACCAGCCGAAGTCCGCTTGGATTTAAAATAGTTCAAAGTGTTAATTATACTCACGTTCATCTGCTGCCCATCATTTAAACGTTGTTTTAAGAACTTAAACATAATTTATTCTAAACCTTCACGGGGGGGGGGGGGGGGGGGGCTTTGTTTCTGTTGTTATCTTCAGTGTGAATTGAATCAAAGAAGTCTCAGACAAAACAAACACCAGCAATAAAGTGGAAATCATCAGTCAGTTGGATGATTTAAACCAACCTAAACCATAAGTTATGATACTGATGAGCAGTAAAACATGGGATGTAACATATGTGTGTGTGTGTGTGTGTGTGTGTGTGTGTGTGTGTGTGTGTGTGTGTGTGTGTGTGTGTGTGTGTGTGAATGATAAACCATGTAAATAAAGTTGTATTCCATTTCAGTAAAAACAAATAGAAATCAGATTGACTCAAAACTGCCTAATTAAAAAAAAATTACTACGTCTATATGCACTCAAAGCATCTTACCACATTCTAAACATTGTCTAAATTATTTAATATAATAATTCTCAATCTTTGCTACCAAATATAGATATTTACTTTTATTTTGAATCAAATCCAAACATATTTAATGATTATTTATTTGTACAATTACCTATTAATATTATTGAATTAAATCAGAATATTATTATTAAAACTAAATATTTATATAACCTCAAACTCAGTCTTGCATCAAAACATTTTAATGAGTGAAAATATGTATTAGTTACATTAATATTTAGATTGATGAACATAACAATTCTCAAGTTTCACATTAAGTGAAATAACAGTAAAAATATAAATGTTTTTGGGGCTTTTTTGCAACACTCAAAATCTTTAAAAGTTTAACAAAACCTATGATATTAGCAGGTAATTAATTTCAACACACTTCATATTAAAGCACCACGGTGATGTGTGTTATTAGTTTTTAGCCTCTAAGTATCGTTTTGACTGAATGGCTTATTAAATTTTGAAACCCGCTGTCTGCTGGAATACAACAAGGCCTGTTGGTACTCTCAGCAGTCTCAGTAACAGTAGGTTGGGCTCATTAGTAAATGCATGCAGTAAGGTGTTTTGGTGGACTCCGGTGATGAGTGCAACGCAAAACAGAACAAACACGCAATTTTCATTTGCAGACTTGTAACTGAGCTGCATTACTGCATGTGTTTGGATATCTAAATACGAGGCTCAGAGCACACGTGTGCCCTCATGTGATCATTTGTTGAGGCTTGGCAGTTGCCGCTACTCTCACTTGTTGTGTCTTCACTGCACTTCAGAGAAATTTGAGGCTTCATCTCTGAGAGCAAATAATAATTTTCCCCTCGCTGAGCATTACTCAAACTGAGGCGTGTTGAAAGCCACAATCACAAACAACTGTCTGCACCTCAAAGTTCAAGGCATAACTTTCTAGTCAGGGACAACAACAGCAGGATGTTCACTCGCACGGCTTTGGCTGGTTCAGCTGCAGGGTTTCGGGTCAGCTCGACCCAAACAGCTGTACTATCAGAAGATAAACAGAACATAGTGTGTTGGATTTGCATTCACGCATCACTGGTTTGCATCTTGTTTGCGTGGCTTTAAACTGCTTTTAATTGCCCATCATGGAAGTGTCAGCATCTGTAAAACCCCAAAGCTAGCTCACCTGGCTGTGAACAGCTGAGAGGTGGCAGCAGCAATGAGAGGTTTTAGCTCCATCGCTGAAGTTCCTGCTGCTTCTCAGCTCCACTGAAGGGATGTTTGTTACACAACAGATGCACCGAGATAAAGGTGTGTGATTCATTTTCTTTATTTTGCTCAGACATCATGAAACAAGAGGTGAAGGCTGCTGTCAACTTTCTGAAACGTCTGGCTGTGGCAAGAGGGAAGATGGGCGAAGCCAAAGCAGAACTGTTCGCCAAGAAGCTCCAGAAACTTTTATGTGACAAATACGAAAAGCACTGGTACCCTGACTGTCCCAGCAAAGGCCAGGCTTACAGGTACCCACCAGAACAGAGATGCTGTAGAATTTCTCAAAGAATCAGACCCTCACTGTTTAATGTTGCAACAGGTGCATCAGGATACACAACGGCTTTCCATGGGATGAAATGCTGCTGAAGGCCTGTGAGGAGAGCGAGCTCACACCCTGTAGTCTGGGGCTTCCTCCTGATATAACGCTGTGGATCGACCCGATGGAGGTGTGTGCAAGGTGAGTGATTGACTGGCAAAGAAATGACACAGAAACCTGTTACATCGAGTCTGAGAACGAACAAACAGAAGAACTCCTCTCTCCTACAGATCTGGGGAGAACAGCAGGCCCTTCACAATAGCTCGATTCAATGAGATGGAGGAACAGGAGGATGAGAAGGGTGTGAAGGGGGACCACGATGACTCCGCCCTGAACCTGGACACGTCGGATTACCACTCTGCCACTTCTTCAGACTGTGGTTCTACCGCGTCCAGCGACACGGAGGAGGAGGTGAAAGACGGCAAGCTAGAAGAGAAACTGGTGGAGGGCATGAAGAAGGAGGTGGCAGATGGAGGCGCCCACACAGTCACCATGGTGCCCAGGGTTCGGAAGTGGCACGGAGAAACACTAAATAAAGTCAGATACGTCAAGAAGAAGGTACTTTTTACTTCTTTGGTTTGTAAAGACCATCTGTTAACCCTGAGCCTTCTTTAGAAGGCCGTCGGTGCGTCCCACGTTTCAGTGTCGTCTTTAAAAAACACTGATAAGCTTCAGTGTTGCTAGGAACGCCGTGTTCTGTCATGAATGTGAGCGTTTGAGTCTGACACACACACACACACACACACACACACACACACACACACACACACACACACACACACACACACACACACCTGTCATAAAAAGTCACTGTAGTATTTTATGACTTAAATAAAATTACAATATTTGACTCAGGCTTCCAGGAAAACTTTAAACTTTATTTTTCTTATTTTCATTCTTCAAATAATTTCATCTTTAATTGAATGGCCACAAAACAATTAGAGCCAGTTTCAGCATTAAGTTGCAGCGAGCTGGTTTGGGCTTGGGTAAGACCAGCACATGTGACCTTCCAGCACGGGAGCCGTCGGTGTCAACACAACAGCTATAGGCGCTGAGCCTGAGAAAACCTTGGAAAAGTTTTTTTCCCTCCTGATACGTCCACAGATGTTACCCACTTCTATCGCTGACTACACATATAGAATATGTGTAATTTTCAGATTCTTAGTATAAATAAAGCATTTTATTGGCTCTGTAGTATTTAATATGTGATTTTATAGAAAAACCAATCGTATGAGTTGGTAACTGCATCGTGTCAATGTTGTACCAGTGGGCAGAAGACTAAACAGTTTTGATGTACTGGGTTTTTAACCGATCCCATTAAAGGGGACAGCTTTTAGAAACAGGCATGATGCATTTGGCATTTTAGGGATTTAAATGACAAACACTGGAGACAAACAGACGAGTGGAGAATATACCCAAGATTTGAACACTTTTCCGTCATTAGGGTTCCAAGCCCAACGGGCAGGGAACCCTATTGTATTTTTTTTATTTTGTTCTTGGTGTTCCTTGAAATGTGAGTAGATTTTCCTCCAGTGAGGGAGATAACGAAAAGACAAAGATACATCCTCTGACACCAGTCACCAGGACCAGCTGACACATCTACTGGCAAGCTCTAATTAACCAGCGCGGAATGGCTCTGAAAAACGTTCCGTCGACAGAGGAGATCGAGAACATTCAAAAGTCTCTCGAATTTGTGTCCGAGGAAGTGACTGCTGTTGGAGCGCAACAGAAGCAGATCTTAGATCTTCTGGAGGAGGTGAAACTTGCGTCTTCAGAATGTGGAAAAAGACAAACGCATCCTGGCTCTGGAGCAGCGGGTGGACGAACTGGAGCAGTATTCTAAAATGAATGAAGTGGTCATTATGGGGCTTCCACTAAAACCGCACAGTTATGCTTGCGCTGTAGCTCCAAACAATATGGAGCTCAGGGAGGAGGAGGAGAGATCAATGGAGCAACAGGTGGCCTCCTTCCTTCATAGTAAAGGGATCAAGTTGGACCTGGATCACATCACCCGCAAACCAGGAGGAACAGTGAACATCCTGCCATCATATTGAGGTTTGAGAACAGAAAAGACAAGACGGCACTCTTAAAACAGGGACGTAAACTGAAAGGAACAAATGTCTTCATAAATGATCACTTAACAAAGAAAAATGCTGACATTGCCAGGACAGCTAGATACCTGAAAAATAACAGAAGATCCATCATACCGTATTTTCACGACCATAGGGCGCACCGGGTTATAGGGCGCGGGCGGGGGCACGGTAAAACGTACCGGTAAAACATCTGTGCGGGCTCGGGACTCGGAACAAATCAGTGCAAACCAGACATTGTGAAAATCATAAACAACCAAAAGCATGCTTCACTTTACTGGTCTAGTCCTGGTTCAGACCTGGTTTAGAGCGCACGTGCACTTCCTCATTGCATGCGCTGACGGCTCGTGCGCTTCTAATGGGCTTGACACATGGGAGGCAACTTCACCTCTCCTCCATTCATTTTCAATGAGACATGCGCGACAAAGCGATAATCGCGGGTCTCCCTCCTACTAAAGCCAGGCGTACACCGGGAGTGCTGCAGGAGGACACACAGGGATTTATGGGGGTTGGATGAGAAAAACGAAATAAAGAAAGTAAATCTGTGTTTTGTGATCAGTTTAATTTGACATGAACACGACAAACACGCTTTGTTGACAATCTTTGTGAGTAAAAAAAATGTGTAGAAATAAAAACGAACAGCATGTGTTATTAGGGAAATGCCGGGCGAGCAGTGTTGATGCATGATTGCGCATGCTCCGTGAGCGGTTCCGGTACTTTTTGGGTCGCAGCGCCGCTTCAAGCGCTGATGCGCTGTGTTGAATTTCAGAATGTGTTTACCGGTAGTTGGTGGATTTCGCCACATAAACTTTCCACATGAACAAAATCATATGTGTGTTATTAAATCATAGTGTGATTTGAATTGTGTTTATTAACCCTCTGGGGTCCATGGACACGTATCCGCGTCTTTTGAACAGGTCTGATTTGGGACGCTGTAGCAGCAAGACTCCGCCTCCCTGAGTTTTGGTTTCAATTCAGCTTTAAAAAGGAGATTATAAACTACACCCCAGTTTTTAAATTTTATTAAAAGGCAACTTAAAAGCGGAGTTATACTAAACAAAAAAAACTACCTATTTTTAGCCAATCTGACAACTTGTCAAAACATCAGTTTAGTCATCCGTGAGAGGGAACGTGCTTGTGAACATAAAAAACCCACAAAAACATGAGATCCTCTTGCTGTTGGTGGAAGTCTCACATATTCAATTGATAAAAAGTATCATTATGTAGCTGAGAGAGAGAGGAGGGCTGCACGAGTAACGAGATGTGCTCAGAAAGGAGCCGCTTCGCGGGGAAAGGAGTGGCGCAAACGGAGTAACAACAAAAAATTTGACAGTTATTGACGGTAAACTTCATATTTTGGAGCGATCCGGACAGAAATATTGTTGCTGCAGTTTAGTAGGCTTTTATTAGGCTTTAATAAAGGATGGTGAGAAGGATACAGGTGCTGGCCAGTAAATTAGAATATCATCAAAAGGTTGAAAATATTTCAGTAATTCCATTCAAAACGTGAAACTTGTACATTATATTCATGCAATGCACACAGACCAATGTATTTCCGATGTTTATTACGTTTAATTTTGATATTTATAGGTGACAACCAATGAAAACATCAAATCTGGTATCTCAGAAAATTAGAATATTCTAAAGGCCAATGAAAAAATGTTTGTTTCTCTAATGTTGGCCAACTGAAAAGAATGAACATGAAAAGAATGTGCATGTATAGCACTCAATACTTAGTCGGGGCTCCTTTTGCCTCAATAACTGCAGTAATGCGGCGTGGCATGGACTCGATCAGTCTGTGGCACTGCTCAGGTGTTATGAGAGCCCAGGTTGCTCTGATAGTCGTCTTCAGCTCCTCTGCATTGTTGGGTCTAGCGTATTGCATCCTCCGCTTCACAATACCCCATAGATTTTCTATGGGGTTAAGGTCAGGCGAGTTTGCTGGCCAATCAAGGACAGGGATACCATGGTCCTTGAACCAGGTGCTGGTGGTTTTGGCACTGTGTGCAGGTGCCAAGTCCTGTTGAAAGGTGAAGTCTGCATCCCCATAAAGTTGGTCAGCAGCAGGAAGCATGAAGTGCTCTAAAACTTCCTGGTAGACGGCTGCATTGACCCTGGACCTCAGGAAACAGAGTGGGCCAACACCGGCAGATGACATGGCACCCCACACCATCACTGACGGTGGAAACTTTACACTGGACCTCATGCAACGTGGATTCTGTGCTTCTCCGCTCTTCCTCCAGACTCTGGGTCCTTGATTTCCAAAGGAAATGCAGAACTTGCTTTCATCAGAAAACATAACTTTGGACCACTCAGCATCAGTCCAGTCCTTTTTGTCCTTGGCCCAGGCGAGACGCTTCTTGCGCTGTTTCTTGTTCAAGAGTGGCTTGACACACGGAATGCGACACCTGAATCCCATGTCTTTCATGAGTCTCCTCGTGGTGGTTCTTGAAGCGCTGACTCCAGCTGCAGTCCACTCTTTGTGGATCTCCCCCACATTTTTGAATGGGTTTGTCGTCACAATTCTCTGCAGGGTGCGGTTATCCCTAGAGCTTGTACACTTTTTTCTACCACATTTTTTCCGTCCCTTCGCCTGTCTGTTAATGTGCTTGGACACAGAGCTCTGCGAACAGCCAGCTTCTTTAGCAATCACCTTTTGTGTCTTGCCCTCCTTGTGCAAGGTGTCAATGATTGTCTTTTGGACAGCTGTTAAGTCAGAAGTCTTCCCCATGATTGTGGTGCCTTCAAAACAAGACTGAGAGACCTTTTAAAGGCCTTTGCAGGTGTTTTGAGTAAATCAGCTGATTAGAGTGGCAGCAGGTGTCTTCTATATTCAGCCTTTTCAGAATATTCTAATTTTTTGAGATACCAAATTTGGAGTTTTCATTAGTTGTCACTTATGAATATCAAATTTAAATGTAATGAACATTGGAAATACATTGGTCTGTGTGCATTGCATGAATATAATGTACAAGTTTCACGTTTTGAATGGAATTACTGAAATATTTTCAACCTTTTGATGATATTCTAATTTACTGGCCAGCACCTGTAAATGTCCACCAGGCAGTTCAGATAGTACGGCTGTTTTTTGAACTGGAAGCAGAGGAAGTGGACGGAGACTCACAGCCGGAGTCTGAGGCAAATAGCGAGGATGTTGATGACGATGTGGCAGATCCACAGGTCTGTCTTCGCTCATGTCCGCACATTCATGCCACGACCCTTGTCTTGTACTACGTTCGTGTCTCACAACGACACAATAGGCGCACCGCACCATAGGGCGCGGCGTACATTTTGGAGAAAATTTAAGACTTTTAGGTGCGCCTTATGGTCGTGAAAATACGGTACCTGGGTGACAAATTGTAAAATCTTTATTAAACTCAATGGAAGTCCTAAAGAAGCAACAGTAGTGGTGGTGAGACACATACAAGAACTTAAGTATTGATGATGTGGAACTAGCCTTATAGCTTA